AAGGTTTTGGAAACAAGAGGAAAGCAAAACTGCACAAAATGTAAAAGATGTAAACATATAAATAAGTATACATAATAGATTTTTTTTTTTACCTTGCTGTCTCTCTCCTTATGAATTCAGATGTTGTTTGCTTTTTAGTTTGCTTTTTGACTAGTTCTCAGCATTGAACTTTAAACATTTCTATTTTTATGTATGCAGTATTATTTGTAGACTAAACTTGTGAAAAAGGATGCTAAAGGAATGCAGAGGTGATTTTACACCGTGAGTGAGGATGGGCTAATGATTGTATGTAACCTTTTCAAGAAAAACACTGATGGCACCTGTAGGGTTACTCTTGTGCAAAAGTCTTCAGCTTTGTTTATTTTCCATTACAGTTGGCTGTCTGTTCATCCAAGGCCAGATTCTTCCCTGAATTCAGCTTATGGCATGAGGCAACTTTTCAAGTAGATTTGTTGGTATATGGAATCCAGAAGTCTTTCATTAGAGTTGTCATTTTAATAAATTTGTAGCGTGTTGTATGAAACTCTTAACATTAAAATGCTTTTCCTGGGTCTCTTGCATTCCTAGCAGAAGCATTAGAATTTCCACTTGCTTAGGCATGGTAACATTAACATTGTTTTGGGCTTTTTCACTTACATCCTGTTTTATGTTTCTACACTGTAGCACCCTGTTCCTGCTGCTCAACCGGCTCAGTGTTGTCGTTCTGGGCTGGAATGTCTTGGGTTTACCAAGGGAAAAGTAGTTGTCTATTGTTGAATAAAATGTTAAGTAAGCTTTTGTTGAATGTGATCCAAACTTATGAAAATGCTAATTAAAAAAGAATTCTCAGCAGGAAAGTAATTTATCATGTAAAAAGTGCATCCGAAAAATTACACCTGCTGACAAAAGGCTTTTGTGATACAATGCAGCGTTCATGGATTTTTTTTGCTGAACTGAAGAATAATGAGTTTTATATGCAGCAGCCCAAGTTGCATCACAGTTTTGGTACTGGGGCTGGGACTGTGCACCATGTTTGTTGGTGGGATGGCATGTACCCTGGCTGAGTTTATGGATGATGCCAGGGAAGGAGTAGTTAATAAGCTGGAGGGCAGGGCTGGCAAGCGCTCAGCAAGCTCAGAGTGGGCTGAAGGATCCTCAGAAACTTCCACAAGGACAGGTGAAGTCCAAGTCTTGCACTACCACCTGCAGGCAGGCTGGCTGGGAGCACCTCTGAAGAAGAGACCCCGAGGATCCGGGTGAGCAGCAAACTGAACATGGACCAGCCATGTATCCAGCTGTGTTAATCCAGCATGAGAGGCTGACAAGCTGGGAGACCTCAGCAGAGTGCCACTAAGCTGGGAGGGAACACAGAGTACCTGGCACATGAGGAGAGGCTTAGGAAATACATTTGTGTAGCCTGGGGAAATCTGACAGGCGCTCTTGCAGCCTTTCATTGTGCAAGGGGATCTGAGAGATGGAGGTGGGTTCTTGAGCTGCCCAGTGAAAGCGTGTGGGCAGTGCCTGTGAGCTATGTCAAGGGGAGTCCTGGCTGGCTGTAAGGGAGAAGTGCTCCCAGTGACAGGGGTGACACCTTCCCCCTGAGAACCACTGGTACCCCAGAGGTTTTGGAATTGTGGTCATTGCAGAACGTGGCTGGTTGAGGCTCAGAGGAGCTTTCTCTAACGCTGGTCCTGGTCTGAAGTCTTTGAGAACACCAGATGTCATTCGTTCCCAACATGCATCACTCTATGGTAATGCCTGGCCTAAATTTTCTTGACAATTATTATCAGCATCTAGTGGTGAAGTTCCAGCTAAACTCTGAGCACAGTAGAACTTTGAATCTTGAATTGTGCTAATTTAGAAAGACATAAAATTTTAAGTTAATGCAAAATTCAGTATCTTTGATCTACATATTTTCATCTTGTTGCTGCCATAATCATCTTAGCAAATAGAGACTTGGCTTACAAAACCTTTGTCTTTAATTGAGAAAATTAAACTTCATTGGGTGTTTCAGCTGCCTCTGGAAAATATCTGACCATTCTTTTTGTTTTAAATGTTTGAATGATTTAGATTTTTAGGGCCACTAGGTGGTTCTTCTTGCTCAAGAAAATGAAAATGTTTTGTTGAATATGCAGTTCTAAAATTATTTGATCTTTCATTATTTTTCATTTTACTTCCATTGTCTGACATTATGAAAAGCTCTGTGTACCCAAGTGGGTTTGTTTCTCTTCTCAAATTACATTTTGGACAGAGAATTGTGTAGTTTTATATGCAAACTCACTCAAAACCTTAAAATCTTAAATAAGAGATTATATTCCTAGTCAAGATGGAATTGAACTAATAATAATTTGTGTCTAAATCAAGCAATTTTAATTAACCATAACATTATGGCGAACTAACACTATACTATGATAAATTACCTAAAAGTAATATTTAAAGAATAAAATTTAAGTGTGTCATGCCACTGAACCTTTGGGGTTTGTGGGCCAACCCAAACAAACCCATTATTTTCAGAAATGCTAAATTAAATGCTTGGCATCTTGCTGTCATGCAAAATGTTTCCATATTTTCAGTTTGTTTTCTTTCAGTAACTGGTTTATTGAAAGCTGAGAGAGTTCTTGGGAGTTGTAAAGACAGAAAAACTTGGGTTTTTTCGTTAATCCATGAATAAAAGCAGGTGTGAATTATGTATTAGTTCCACAGTTTTGAGGACCACAGGGAAAAAGAGGAATCAGTCCAAGTCAATTTAGGATAAAATTCCATGTCTTTAATACTTTAATTTAAAATATAAAATATGATTTATTTAAACTTTATATCATTTGATGTATTTTTATTTAATGGTTGATTTCCATCCAAAAACAGTTTGAAAAAAAAGTAATAAATGAATCACCTATTAAAAAAAGAAATAACATTCTAGCATTTTCTAGGAAAATGAAAAGGAAAAAAATAAAAAGACTGTATGCCTGTTAAGTGGTATGAATTTATTTTATAACCTTGTGGTCAATAAAAAACAACATGTTGATTAATGTAAAGTCTTTATTTGGTGGAAAACCATCTTAAATTAGAAGTTAAGTGTTTGAGTAAAAAAACTCTTGCTTTATAAAACAATAGATAGCAATGCAGAATCTGAATCTAGAATTAGTATTTTGTGATACAATTTCAAACTGGTTGATTTCACTGAGAGCAGTGAATATAATTAAAATCTGTTGCTGCTCTCTTCCCTCAGTGAGTTTAAGGTGAATCCTTATTTTTAACTGTCTGGCATCTGTGTAATTAAAAATTCTTTTATTTTTTGCCATAATTTTTATTTTTTTCTTCGCTGCTGAATTTAAAACTAACAGGGGAAAATTCTAGGGAGAAGACTTGCAGTCACTCTTCTGGTTTATCTTTTGTTCCCTAAAAATGATTGCAATGACTTTAAAGAAGATTGTAATCTCCTCCCTTGTCTGGTTTTGGGTTTTGTTTGTTTGTTCTGTAATGCCTTGTTATTATAAAAGCGGATTATATTTTTAATTTAGTTTTTCTTATGTTTTCCTTTCAAAATCCTTTCTGAATGAAAAGGATGATGCCTAGCTTCTAGAATGCACTCAAAAGAGGGAATTATATTGCTATCACAACGGGATTTTGTAAGGGTGATGACTCTACAAAACGCCTGGGATCGTCAGACTCACTGATACTTAATTTCCCACTCCAGAGTACATTTGAAGCTTGTATTTCATATTTCTGAGTATGTTGACATAAAATGCGGATTCTTTTTACTTTCACAGACATTTAATTTTATTTTAGAAGAGTTACATTTTATTCTATTTATTTGATCCCTTTTATCCTTTCTCACTCCAATATATGGATTTCCTACAGTTATTACTTTAAAGTGTAGATTTAAGTAGAAATACGGGTATTTTCTTAAAGCTTTACAAGACTGTCTGCTACTGTTACCAATTAAGAGTTTGAAGTATTGGTTGATATCATTACATGCTGTATTGTATGTCATAATTAATTTATTATGGAATGGAGGAGAGTAATAAGTGCTATATAATGTATTTCCATATTTTTGAGAGGGGGAGAATGTTGTTACCTAAAGATTGTTTTACTGTGTTTTGAAGTGTCTGGAGCCAAGGAGTGATTAATGGATATGAAATAGATGTTTTGTGAGGTTTTGAAATTCTGTTTTGTATTTTCATGAGATTGCAGAGAACTGGGTATTAAATCTCAGGCAGTTCCCCTCAGTTCTGTATTCATATCCATGTATGCTTTTGTTGTCAATGGAAGAAGGCTGAGTGGGTTGGGGTGTACTTAAGAGAAGCCATAGCTTGATGTCGTTTGGAATTTTAAGGTTTGATCATGGGGCATATCACTCCAAAATATTTTTAGTTTAGATATTATGTGTTGGTGTTTTGTTTATGAGCTGTAATTCCAATTAAAATCGTCTTTATTAAAAGGTAAACAAAAGTGTAGTATTTCTAGCAACAATTTTATTATTCTTGAAGAAATATCTCAAGGTCTATACAGCTAGTTTTTTAATTTAAAAAATATCTAAAGGAGAAATTATGTATTCCAAGTATTTGTTATTAGGGTTGGTTTTTGGGGATTTTTAAAATTTGGTTTTTTATTACTGTGGAGGGTAATCATAATGTTATTTTGGCATTCTATTGTATTGGAAATTTTTTTGATTTTTTCAAAATTCTTTTGTAGGGTAGTTTTCTCCAAACAGGAAATTATACCTATACTTGGGAAACATTAGTGTGGCTTCAGTTAAGGTGCTTGCTTTTGTAATTTTATCTGTATAAATTCAGTGTAAAACTCTTCAAACTCTACCACCATTACTGATATTAAGCCAAGGGTACATTTATTGTTTTTTCCAAAGTATTTAATGTATAATTTCAAAATTTGTTAAGCCAGTCTTCTGCATTTTTATTAATTGATGGAGTTTTGGAGCTTTCTTTTTCACTGTTTATAAGCCTTATAAAGAAATGAAATACGTTTTATTTGTTACTGTTTTCTAATGGTGTATTTCCACACAGGTGGAGAACGAACTTGTGGTGTACATGAACTGATCTGCATCAGAAAAGGTGAGCAACTATTTGTGCAAGTGAACTCCTTAGCTTGTGAATATTCCTGGTGAGAAATCTGCTGCCCACTGTTATGCCCTGACTTTTTGTGGATCTTAGTACTGCATCTTTGTGTTGCAGAATCTTTTGATGCTGACAATGTGAATAGGAAAAAATAGTGAAATTATAAAATAAAATTTGATTTTTCACAAGAGGGAAAAATGTGCTTTTCCAAAATTCACTGTGTTATGTGGAATTTGTTAATGTTGTTTTGCTGTGATGGGTAACCATGCAAACTTTGATCTTCACTTTGTCCAGATATTTGTAGGACTATATGATTTTCATTAGTAATAGAAAGTTTTGAGGATGTTTTAAAAAAGTGATGTAATGAACTGGCAATCTCTGCCTCTTATTTCAGGTAAGATCCTAATGACTCAAACTTCTTTGCAAACAGCTGCAGCAATAGTGAGACCAGCAACTGAGAGAGCACAGAGCAGAGCTGTGCTCCAGGGAGGGATGTTACACCTTAAAGCTGAGCGGCAGTGACTGAAGTTGGAGCTCAACAGAACAGCTCAGCTGATGTAAAGGCTAGATACAGTTCTGTTTTCTGTCCCTTTTGGCAGCCCTGTGCTCCTTCCTGCAGCAGTGCTGTTGAATTTATGTCTTCTCATCTGAAAGCTAATTCAAGAAAAAAAAAAGGTTTCTTCAAGGGTGAGTTCCTTGAATTGGGTCTCGGTTAGGTCAGAAGAGTCTCAGTGCTTTCAAAGGGAAGGAGTAAGAAAACGTGGTGGGAGAGGAATAAAGTTGCAAGACTCTTTTGACAACTCTTTTGAGTGTTAGACTGCCTCAATAGTATTGTCAAACCACATTGTACTCTGTGGGAAGAAGTTTTGTTTGTCCTCTCAGTTTCCATTGCATTCACTGAGACATTTTGGTAAAATTGTTTGGGTTTATTGAAACATTTATTTGACAATGCTTAAATTAATCAGAATTAAGCTTACCAGTTAAGGTCAGAATAGCTTTCTGGTGACAAGTAATCTTTTCCAAATATCTGTTGAAAGAATTTTTGAGTGTGTATGTGTTACAGTACTGTAATTAAGAACATTTCTCCGCTTCTCTAAACTGTGAATCATTTAGATCTTGCTTTTATAAAATTCTTACTCATTTTGGAGGGGAGCAGAATTTTTTCTTTTTATTGCTGTCTCACTTTTTCCCATTGACAGATAAAGTGGTATGCACAGTGCTATGTATTCCTTCTGTAATAGCTCCTGTTTATCTTTCTGAATTGGGAAACTCATTGGAATTTCAGAAAGCCTTCTGATAAACTTTCAAGAGCTGTTAATCTTGCTAATCCTTGTTTATTTTAGAATGCTGTACTGATTTTAAGAAAAACAAATTTTCTGTGTTCTTGGAGACAGTGCTGTATGGTTTTAATGTTAATTGCTGGGAAGTTAAATTGAAAAGATGTGTTGTTTGTTTTTTTTAAGATTCTGTGTTATGTTTGAGCATTGAATTCTAAGCTCTGTTAGCCATTGATACAATAAATTAAATAAAAATAGCATGGAACTTGTGGTTTAGCATTGGTGGTTATAAATTAGCCTAGGGGTAAGTGTGATTAAAAGAGAAATATCCTTTTAGTGCCATTTATACTTGCATTGTGTTCGGTTCCTTTTTAGGTCATATGAATTTCCATGTATATTCTAACCTTGTGTGTCCCTATGTTACTGACAAATGTCTCCTTGTGGTGCACGATTTGGTGCATTCTTGTCTGTCTTCGCTCTCTACTCGATGTGTACCTTTAAAGCAGAAGGTGCTTGCCATTGTACTGCAAATCTTCCAGTCACGTGGACTTTTGGTTACTTTATTTAAGACTTTACATCCTCTGATGCACATTCATGATGTTTTTGTTGTATGACCAAGGCTGGGCTCCTAAGGATCACTTTATTTGCCAGTTGTCCAGCTCTGCTTGCTTGGCAGGTTGAGATTGCAGACTCAAGATTTCTGCTGACATCCTCAGAATAGGAAGGCATTTCCAAGCTGAGAGTTCCTGGCTATCAGCTGTCTCGAGCTGGTCAAATCAGACCTTCCAGCTTTGTCCTTAATGTCACTGAGTGCTCATGTCAAGCTTATACAGGATGGAGTTTCCCATCTCTTGGCTGTGCCCTGAAAGCTAAGCTGTTTTTTGGTCTGTGAGCTCACAGTAGAAGTTGAATGGACAGGTTAAGCGTTCACACTGACACATGGGTAATTCCCTGCAGTCTTGTCTGGTGCTGGGTAAGGTTGCAGTGTGCCCTTCTCCTTATTCTCTGGTGTCTGTGTGACTGTGGCATCAGGAGAGTACATTCCAGCACTCCTGGCATTCATCCACTCCCTCATTTTCATCAACTACTGTCTGTGAGGCTTTGAGAGATGGTGGTGTTTGACAAAATGGTTCTCCATTTGCTATTTGCCTGAAAGCCTCTTGTACTTTCTGCCAGCGGATGGTGGGGAACTGTGACTGGCCTATGGCTGGAGTTGGAATGCCTATATGGAACCTCTGAAAGAAACATTAGTAGTAAATAGCCTGCAATAAGTAACTGGAGTTTTGTAGTGTACGTTTGTGCTTTGCTTGTCTGTCCATCTTTGTTAAGTGCTTCCAAGTACATGGCTTTTGAGAAGCAACTAAGAGGATAAACAGTGATGTTCCATCTTTTTTTTTCCTGCACTGAATTGGGAAAAAGGAAAAGTAAGCATGCAAGCAAGCATGTGTCTTCTATGAATAATACATGGGAAAACTTTCCAGTTTCAAGTGATGGAATGTAATTACAATTTGTATGGGGATTATATGGCTTGAAGAACACCTATTGCTGGTGGTTAATTTTTCTTTCTAGCCAGCAAAGTAACACATTCCTAAATTGTATTTTTCTTGCGTGCCCTTTCATTTTTTTTCTATGAAAATAGGAACCTTGGTGTATCAGATGATGAAATGCGTAGAGGAACCAGAAAGGTCTTCAAAGCTGTGACTACACCATTTAGCTCAAATAACATAATGAAAACTTCTTAGCTGTAGTTGAAGGCATAGCTGTTAAAGCAAAATCTAAGCCTTAAAAAGGAAATGTCTGCTCTAAGATTATTCCGCAGTAAAAATGAAAATAACTTGAAACATCAATTTTCCTGTTTTTCAGTTTTTGTATTTCTCAGATTGTATCAGTTTAAATGATAGACTCAGAAGTTTGCAAATACCAGTTATAATGTTCATTGAATATCTGAGATTATGTCAGTTCTGGTGTAAATATGATCCCAGTATGGTATTGATACAGGACTCAGATTTGCTACCCAAAGATGTAGCAATTGTCGGGCACAGGCCTCCTCCTGTGTCACATTAATGTTATTATAGTTTTGTAGTTGCCCAAGAGACACTGTGGTGGGTCTCCCTCTAGGCTGCACAAGAAGGATTGCAGTACTTTTATAGGGTTTTTTACATGGTTTCTTTTTAGCAGATTTATACATTTTTGAGAAGAATCTGCAAAGAGCTGATCAGGAGTAAGGAGACTAATAAGCTTTTCTGGAAAGCCTTAAAAACTAATTCTTATGTATTTTTAAAGAGGCTTCCTCTAAATTCATAAATATAGGGAATGTGTGTCCTGAAAATGGGAGTATTTTGTGGCTGTTATGTAACATCTAATAGCTACAAAGTACTGAACAAGTCACTTCACAGCTTGTAAAAAGAATTTTAAAGATGTATGATCGGCTATTAGGGAATCACCGAAATATGTGTCTCCTATGTTTAACATAGTTAAGTAGTTGAAGTGTTTGTGTGGTTTTATGTTTACACATTACAGAAATCTGGAAATTAGAAAAATGGAAAAGTAGATTCTTGCTTTTATTATAAATTAACATCTTGTTTACTTCTATTATTTAATGCAAGTTTGTGTTTACACATTTTAGTGTCTGACAATACAAATTGAAGACTTGGCTGTGGAAAGAAGAGTCCTGCTTAGTTTTTGACATCAGAAGGTGACAGAGTTTCTCTGAAATGACTCAGTTAACAGTTTGTGGTTTTGCTGGATATTGTCCTAGTATCCAGCTGTCTGTTTTTGAGAGAGTCAGGATATTTCTATAAGTTGTTCCTTTGGTTATTTGCTGTGGACATAAAAGAATTCAGGGAACTTGAGATTAGGCTTGAGAACAATATATCTTTTTTACCTGTATAGTGCAACTGCAAGTCTAACTTTGAATTAGCTGTTGTTAGATTAGTAATATTTTAATTAAGGCTGTTTAAAGTTCTCTTTCTACAAACAAGAGAGAATTGTGATGAGTGTTTACGATATTGAGCTGTAACTGAAGAAACTCGTCTTTAATATATTCTGCTATGTATTCATTGTGTGACATGGAAGTGACATTAAAGGAGAAAATATCTGGCTGTATTATTTTTAGGTTTCTCTCACCCAACATTTTTCACCTGTTTATTTTTGAAGTAGTGCAAAGTGATATTTCTAACTCAGCAGTGTGTTTTGTATTTAATTAATGGAAATGTAGATTGAGTATCCAAGTAAGGGCTGAGTTGCACAGAAGTTTAAAAATTATTTTTAAGCCCTTTTTTTCTTTTGCAAGATGTTCTTTCTATTGTTGTGACAATCTTGCAAACAAAGGAAATTATTCAGCAAACTGACTTTGTGACTAAGAATGGAACAGAAGTACTCTCTTTAATATGCAAAAGAGAAGTTGCAAAAAGACAATGTCTTCATCTGACAATGAAAAATGTCACTTGTAATAATAATTTTGAAAAGATAAGAAGGTGTGAATTTTTGCTTTGTCAGAAGTATGTTTTAAGTAGAACTATTCCTCTTTAATGTTCTGGTCAACTGTCCTTATCCTTTTGCATGTGTCTGAATGTTAAGCTGCCAACTGCACTTATTCCAAATGGCAAAAAGTAACATTTATTCATTAGTTTCATTTTACAGTAAAAACATTATTAAGTTGAAAGTCAACTGCATTTGATACTCAAGTTATCTTACACTATTTGTGTAAGTCTACACTAA